CTGCTTGGGCATCTCTAGGCTGCTCGCTGTCGCTGCGTCTGGGGGAGAACATATAAATTGCATACTGTTTCGATGGCATTTGACCTCACCATATGAACCCATGCCTGCCACACGCTCAGTTTCAGCCTCTCGTTCTACTCGTCGAGGGTCGCCGATTTCAGCTTCAATTTCTTCATACCACCCTACTCCATATTTCTTCACTCAAGCTGAACGCACTGCAAAGATTAATCGTGTTAACAGGCAGACTTATGTTGATGCACTGATTGACTATCCTATAGGTTCTGTTATCGAGTACCCTGGGACGGGCAACAGCAGTGATTCTTCGATAGCTTACCGGTTTCAGGTAGATCCTGACCACTTTCTTCACCCCAAGTTCAATCTCCAGTATTCTGTTGGTGATGGCCATGGCGGGCATCCCAAGGTCGAATGCTATCTACTCAGAGATAAGGACGGCAAGTCCGTGCCTTGCAAGGCAGTGAATGCCAAGTCACGCGTCGGTCAGTGACCGATGGTGACCGACACGATGACTAGATGTCGGTCATTTTCTGACCGTGACTGACGCATCTACACGGTCATTTGTCCTTTGTAAACATGTAGACACTGGACAAGTTTTGTTGTACCTTAGCAATGCCTAAATTGGATTGATGTCTATTTCTGTTCCGTAGCGACGTAGACGGCCCTGGCTCTCTCCCTTGCACATTCTGCCGTGGTGCTGCACCCGCTCTCCGGCATGGCACCGAGCGCAATTGGCGTCGTTATCCATGACGGCCGCGTTGCCCACTTGACGACAAGTGCCCAGGCTTGGCCCTTTGGAGAATCGATGCTGGTCCAGCCACGGAAACTTTGCCCGGGCCCGACGACCAGCGGGACTTAGACGTTTTTGACGTACCCTCTCCCCCTGACCCCCTCGAGCCTTGTCCCGACATGTCAAAGCAGTGGAAACCGAAGAAAACACTAAGCCAGGAGCAGCGTAGCCGTAAGATTATAACCCTTGAGCACACCACAGCACCCCTGACTTGAGCAGACTTCAAGTACAATGGCTCTCTCGCGTTCTGCAAGGTCTGCAACTACGGCTGGTTCGCCAGCAACAATGTCAAGAACCACGCCATCTCAACGAGGCATTTGAAACGAGTGGAACGTTCAAACGCGATGAAGGAGGCTGCGAAGCCCTCAACCTCTTGTGCATCACGGGTCAAGTCTCCGGTATTGATGGGCATCGATGCAGGTAAGTTTCTTCGACAACTTGAACACTCAGTTACTGTAACTCATGCGTGCAGATGATGACAGCCACGATGATCGCGACGGCAATCCCGGGACCTTTATAGAAGACAGTGACCAACACTATGGCAGTTTCGACAAGTGGACAGACACCAATGGCGACCAGATCCTCTTCTCAGCGGGGGTTGAACCGTCTAGTCCCATGGCGGAGTCGCTTATTGCAGCTCTTCGAGCTGCTTCAAGGGCCACCGCGAAACCTTTCAACGGTGAAGAAGTGCCGCTTCAAGATCTTGACGAACCAGCGATGGATCACAGTGAGGATGCTGATGACAATGGTACGTCGTTGGTTCTGTGACTTCTTACCCATGTCAACACTCCCTAATCCCACTTTGAGTAGAAGAGCAGTCTGAGGCTGCCAATCGGCTCCTCAATCAATTCCTTCACACAACGTCGACAACATCAAAGTGGTTCCCTTACCCGGATAAGTCGGTAAGTGTGGACCTGTGTTCTTCACTCGCTACTTACTCCTGTACAGATGTTTTTGACTGATCTTCTTTTCAAATCACCCCGGCTACGGTTCTCACAAGCGCAGCAGAAGGCGATACTGTCATGGGCGAAAGAATTGGGTGCAAAGGTTCCGTCGCAGTGGGCACTCTCGAAGTTCCAAGATGAGCTTCAAGATGAGGTCGGTGATCCAACCCAAAAGTACGAGTCATCACGAGGCCATGTATTTTACCTCAACAGCGTTGGAGAGTCAATCGCAAAGGCAGGTTGATAGCTTCCCCGCAGCTTTCGCAAGCTCACTCAGTGTACAGGATATCGCCAATCCTATTACGCGCCGTGACATGGTCTTTTACCCCGAAGATGCCGGCGAGAGGATGGGTGAAGTATGGCACGGGCGGAAGATGTTGCGTGATATCCCTAATCACTTGTTGACACCAATGATCAGGTCAAATGGCCGTATTTACTATGTTAACGAGCTTGTTGCGTGTACCGGTGATGAGTACTTCTTGCCTACGCGCTGGTTCACTCGGGAGGGAGGAGCAGAGATGTGGGCCATGGGCCATGAAGTTACCAAGTCAGTGTCAGAGGTGAGACGGTCAATCCTTTCTCTACTCTTCGAGAGCTTACATCGTGTTTAGGGAAATCGCTTTGCTGTTTTACCGGAGCTTCTTGTAGTTCCAGTCTCAACTTTCATCGCAAACATCGAAGATATCCTTGCGAAAACCACACAGGAGCAACTGTTCATCGGTATGTAAGCTATTGTAGTATACTTCTTAACTCAGCTTATCCTATGAATCTAGATTCCTGTCGACACTACGAAGAACAGATGCCACACCCGCTACGAAAAAAGGCAGATGGTCGATCGGTGTACTCTATACCGGTCATTATTTTTATAGATGACGTTTCCGGCAACCAATCAAAACAGTGGAATAAACATTTCTCTTGTTATCTTTCGAATGGTGCTTTGCCTCGCGAAAAGTTGACGGAGGAGTTCCACGTACGCTATGTAGCAACGTCTCCATCAGCTACACCCCTCGAAATTATGCAAGGGGTTCGTGACTCGATTGAGTGAGATATTTTCATGAAGTCCTGTCGCATGGATTCAATTCTAACAAAAGGACTGATATAGCGAAACATTTCGAGAGCCTGTTGTGGCCTTTGACTGCGAAACTCGACAAGACGTTCTGATTCAAGTGTACCCACTCCTCTTTGCTGGAGACAACCCGATGCAATCTGAGCTCTGCAGCTGCTCCGGGTTGAACTCAAATTTCTTCTGTCGTACATGCATGTGTGGAGGGACACAGGAGTACAAGCGGTCGGATGATGGATTCGCTTCGTTTTTCAAGGTGAATAGCATCATCTAACATATTGCATGTACTAATTTGTCTACAGGAGGGGAAGCTTCGAGACCCTTATGAAACCTATCAGGAGTTGTGTGCGCAGTTCAATGCTGCCAAGGAGCCGGGTGCAACGACGAAACTCACAGAATTGTCACGGACTTCTGGCATCAAGGACATGGTTGCGCAGCCGATCCTTGAATCTGTCATCAAGCTTGGCCAGAACCTACGCAAGTCCTCGCCGGGCCAAGCTGCCTACACACCAAACGAGATTGAGGCAATCCTGACAGAGGAGATCAAGAAGGCACGGAGCAGCTCAAGAGGAGGGATTAACCCATTGATTGAGATGGACGGTACGTATTCCTGGCAGCCTTGGTCATTATTTCTGATGTTTATGCGGAGCAGGAGTAGATATTCATAAAGATACACCAACAGAAATTCTCCATACTATCCTTCTCGGTGTCGTCAAATACTTCTGGGCTCAGACCATGGCTCTCTTGGATAAGGAGAAGACCCCGCTGTTTCAATCTCGTTTACACTCAGTTGAAGAATCCGGACTCAACATCCCCAAGATCTCAGCGGAGTATATGGTTCAGTACAAGGGTGGTCTTATCGGCAAGCATTTCAAGTCTTTGTCGCAAGTTATGCCCTTTCTCGTCTATGATCTTGTCCCTAAAGATGTACTTGATGCTTGGATTGTCATCGGGCGTCTAGTCGTACTCTTATGGCATACAGAAATTGACAATGTCAAGACATATATGGTAAGCATGTCATACCAACTCCTTCTATTCCAACTCAATCATAATCTGCAGGAAGAGCTTAGTTCAACAATCGATGATTTTCTCTTGCTGACAGCACGGTGCAGCCCTTCTATCCTGATATCAAAGCCGAAGTTTCATTTTCTTGTTCACCTCCCATTCTATATACTTCGATTTGGCCCTGCACTTCTCTTCTCAACTGAACGATATGAATCTTACAATGCTGTGTTTCGCGCGGCATCCATCCACAGCAATCACCAAGCTCCGAGTCGGGACATAGCTTGGTGCTTTGCCGGCATGGATGTCGTGAGACATATTGTCACTGGCGGCTGGTGGAAGCGACACCAGGGAGGGTGGGCACATGCAAGTCCCGATGTTCTGAGATTTATTGAGGAACATCGTGAATATGCAGCATTGCTGGGTCTTTCCTCCACAATGCCTCGAGTCCCAGGTACGCACCATTGTATTGTAAGCAATCTTGACTAACCCACATTTCTGAGTCAGGATCAATCAATTCCACTCATCGGCGCGCTCAAGACAAAGATAGCACCAACGTTAAAGCCTCCACAGAAGCTCTCATAGCTGATACGTTGGCTTACAAGTACTCGATTTCTCCGTCAGAGCTACTCAGTGTTTCCTCGGCAGGAACCCCCAGCCTTGTCTCCAAAGCCAGAGATGTGACTTCCATATCAAGAGATATTATCAGGGTTGGTGAAAATGCTATCGTGCGATATGAAGGGGTACGTTTCACGTTCGCAGCTAATGACTTCAAGCTTGCTTCAAGTTCTTCTTTGTTCATTGGTATTTTTACAGGGCACTTACTCTCCAATGGCATTTGGAACCATCGTAGAAATCATCGCGCCAACACCTGCTGCTGCGCACCCGGCATATTCACACACTTATTCAAACCAAGTCCACGTTACGGTGCAGCTCTATGAACTCCAAGACCAACTGCATGAAGTTTTTCACGCGCCTGTTGTTAAGAGATCATCAACCTACGTTGTTTTGAACGCTTCAGTAAGGCATTTGTTTCCAGATCTTCTATGATATATATTGGAAATGTGACTGCAGGACATTCTCTCATCAGTAAACATTCAGCACGATTGCCATGCGGTGGGATGCCAAGCAAGTGGTGTTCAGCACATTGCTCAAGAACGCGAGCTCACGATGCGAACACGGTCTGTCATTCAACATGCTGACGACATCAATTTCGTGATCAACGTGTATTCACTACACAACTACAAGACTATCCGAGATGCACTTCCTTTGCATCTGAAGCATGCTAATCGATTTATTCCTCAGCAAAAGGAAACTGACATTAAATTGGCGGCATCCGAACGCATTCGCAGCAAGAAGAAGGAGCAGCTCGAAAAGAAGAAAAAGCTTCTAGTCGACAACATTGTCCAGCGATTTGATGGTAATGTCGGCCCTGCTGGCATCTTGGCTTCACTGGACAACGACGATGAACTCTTTGACGTGGTTGAAGGTGTGGTTGTTGGTCATGGATCCTCGTTGCCGTCATCAGATGAACTCCAAGGTTCTGATGCAGCTGTCCATGAAGCTGATAGTGGTGTGACTGGATCCAAGGGTCCCTCAGAGGATAACAGCTTTATCCCTGTGTTCGAAAGCCTCGTACCAGCAGCAAAGACCTTGAAAAAGGCAAAGCGCAGTGGGTCTTGGTGAGTCTGCAAATCTGATGGCGTGGCGCAATCTCATGGCATTATTTCCGTACTTTACAGGGAGGAGGCAACTAAGGAAGTCTTGAAGGAGATCTGTCGCCGCGAGAAGGTATCAGTTGGCGGTAACAAGCCTGACCTCGTCAAGAGGCTTCAAGACCATTACATGCAGTGAGTACTACATGTTGCAACTGCAGTAATCAAATCTCTCACTATACTTTGAAAAGAAACCAACAGTCTCCGCCATCCGTTGATGAAATGGAAGTCATCAGGAAGCAGGTACAAGCATCAGCCTTGCTAGCAAAAACCGACGTCAATGCAAAGAAGCTCCCTCAACAATGCCAAAGGCCAGTTAAGGAGTTTGATAATGCTCAGGATGGCAATGTTGTATTGGACAGCAACGTGGTAGAATACCAAACTGATACACGCAGCCCAAAGCGAGCGCGTACTGAGACTTAACAACGGGGCACGAGCATGGAGCTTTGAAGAACGAGTGATGCAGTTGATAGCAGGTGAGTAATACCATTAATTGGCGCTCGCTGCATGCGTTAACTCAGACTTGCCTTCAGATTCTCGCTTGCATGGCACCCGCACCTGCACCCGCACCCACATCTCCCTCAGCCTTTGACTCTGCCAGACTGCAAACATATACCAGTCCCGCCATCAACACCACCGTACACACGAGCGTCCTACGTACACTTCAAGACAGCTCAGATCACCCTCACTCCAACCCTCTGTCGCCTGTATCTGCTGTCTCTTATTCTTCATACAATGATTCTTATTCTTTGATATCACATTCCTTGTCTATGGACTTCTCATCAGGCTTCTCATCATGCAACATCTTCCACGGCTCTGGCAACACGTTCTGGCACCCGCCCATGCTCTCAACGGCAGACCGCTCTCTGCTGATTGTCCACCCTCTCATGCTTTGTGTAGACGAGTCGCCAATGGACCTCCTCCATCTCCACCCACTGATGCTCGCCCACCATTGCTGTCCCTTCTTCTATCCCAGCTCACTTCTTTGTTCTCATCTTGTTTACAAGTTGATCGCCGACAGGATCTTGGTGGACAAGCCCGAATCTGGCAACAAGGCCATGCTCAAGACCACAGTCAATGGCAAGTCGGACCATCTCTCGGCCCGACAATTCCCGACACATTGGACTTGTTGGAGTTATTGGTTGTTGGTGTGCAGTTGCGGCCGCATGGGACAATGTTCGGACTTCCCACATTGCGCGTGTTCGTTTTTTCTTCTTGTTCCTTTCCTTCGCTCCACCACCACCACAGCTGTGCTGCTCTATCCTCTATTCTCCTCAGCATGGGCTTCATGGATGAGATTCACTGCAAGCATAAGGCACAAACTGCACGAGTCAATGTTCCAGCAACTCCACGGGCTTTTTCCGTCTCCGGCACCCCAGCAACTGGACGCCAGCACCGGGGCACACCCCTCACTGGCAGGCCACTCCGTGGAACACCATCTACACATGTCATCCCTGCGGTGGCCTTTGCGAGCCCCGGTCAGTCACCTTCTTTTCTTCACTGGTGTTGTATTCATTTTTGCTCCAGCAGTGGTTGGGACACCTTCAATACACTCTATGCGGCTGCGCAAGCGCACGAGAGAAGCAGAACTTGCCGAGCCGTGGACACCACGGTCAAAGCGAGCCCATCTTGATTATGCTCAGACCCTCGCAAGCGACCTTGACTTGACAGATGAGGCACGCAATGAGGTCATGGTTGCCAGTGCGGTAAGCTATCAACTAGCTGTCAGTTGAAGCTAATTTACTGATATACATCTAGTTGTCCACGCATAACCTCACCCTGAAGTTGTATGCGTACCTGGTTCGTGACAGGGTTATGGGGTTGGCTGAGCGCGGCCAAGCCTTCCTCAAGTCCCGCGAATATAAGGCAATTGTGTATATCTATCGTAAACTCGAGAGTCTCATCCAAGTCACAGGACCACATTGTTGCTAACTTGTTTGGCTATCTCATGGATGGCGATGTTTCGGGCTATAAGGAGGGGCTCCTTCCTCGCTGTTTGGTGCGTTCAAATCACCCATGGTCAATTCAGATGTGTCTAACGTCTTTGAGCAGCACCACATCCGCCTTCATCCCCGCCGATACCACATCCCTGTCGACATTGAGGACTTCATCACAACCTCTGACTTTGCCAAGGCTATCAGCCGGACCCTCGGGTCCATTCGGTCTGAAATGAAGCGAAAACTCTTCAAGACATGGCGCGAGAAGAAAGGGGTATATGACGTCGTTCGGATGCTTCTCGGCAAGTCGTCCAATGTCCAAGTCACTGAAGCCATGTGGGGTCGAGTTGCTTGGCTGGTCAGTCCACATCTCTTTGCTTTAACCAGACGGCTCACACCTTTGATAGCAACTCAACCTCATGGACTATCAGGAGCTCGTCAAGAATGGTGAGAAGGAGCAGAAGCTTTTCTGGGACTGGACCGACGGCTTGCTGGTCGAGGTTCGAAATGATCACAGCCACCTCATCGGGCGTGCCAAGGCCAAAGCTATCAGTTCGTAAGTCCCCTACTGTGATTTCTGGAAAGCCTGCGCTAACAATGGTCCGAAGCTTTTTCGAAATGACCCTCAAGGAACACATACGACTGCGTCCAACGAGGCGGCGGCCCACCCTTGCAGCTCTCCCTGCATGGCAGCGACAGCTTCGGGAAGCTATCCGGGAGATGGAGAACTACACGGATGAAGATGTGGCTGATTTACAGCGCAACTTCGAGACCGTCGACCTCGAGGATGTCGACAGTGATCAAGAAGATGAGCCCGAGGCTGAGCATGAGGTCCAGCCTGCTACTATCGGTGATGCTCATGATGACGCATAAATTTCGCTTTCTTAATCTTCATACATACATGCTTTCTGTCATACATTACCCGCTTGCTAGATAATACATGGTTGTTATAATGCATTTTTGTACTGTCCCAGTCAATGACACTGCTCAAACCCGCGTACAAGCCTGAAGTGTGTTGTGCCCAGATCCTTGTTGATTTGTAGACAAGCCCAGCCTTGAATCACACGAGTATCTGCACTGGATCAGTCAATAGCATTGACAAGGAATTGACGCTGATGTTGACACTGAGTCAGCCATGGTGTCTTTGTGCTGAATCTTTGCTGATGCTTGGCTCTGGATCGTTGCCAAAGTATCGACGCTGGACCGGCGCAGAAAATTGCTGCGCTGATCCGACAATACTTGTCCCGCGTCGGGTCAGCACGGTTGCGGGCACATCTCGGCTACTTTTCTATTTTTGTCAATTTGACAATGGGCGACAAATGACCGTGTAGTCGCGTCTCGGTTATGAGAGCGACCGGTGATCCGGATGCGCGCGGAGATCTCGGGGGAAGTCAGGGGCTCGTAGATCAAATTAACATAGATAGCATACATCGTTCGTCTGTACCGTAGAAAAACTATGAAGTATGTAATAGAACCTCCTGAGTAGTATCATCTAGTGAGATCTCAATGTTACCGTCCGATCCCGACTCGTCTTGCTTAGGAATTGAGTCTAATTCTAATAATTCATACATGGACATCTCTTCTTCGAAGTTCTGGCGGGCTGACTGCTTGTAAAGATCGGACCAGCTCTTGTTGGCGAAGTTGAAGAGGTTTCGAAGCGGAATCTGCATCCCAATGATGGATACATTGCGAATGGGCTCGTCGTCAAGCTCATCTTCATCTGAGAGGCGCATATGCTGCTGAATAAGGGTATGGAATTGATCTACAGAAGAGTCAGTGGCACTAGAGTCTTCGGTCGGTTCTGGGCCATAAAATCGGGCGTTAAGGTCGTTCTGAGCAC